CATGCAATAACGGTGCGACCACAACCACTACCAACCCACAGGAGACATCTCCCGCCTAACGTACAGAAGTCCTTATGACCACAAGACAGCTTTCAGTACATCGCTGCAGAGGACCAACCAGAGTAGAGGAAAACCCGCCGACCGAGACAACAATAGACATGAAAAGCTAAGAATAAAAGACAAAGGCATAACTGCATGTCGCAAAAGGAAAGAATTTAAATAAAACAGTAAAGAAACCCCTCCTTAATGTAACAGAGGCGAGAGAAAGTTGGACGAGGGGCAAGTCTTAACTTTTGTTTTTGAAAAAAACAAACAAAAAACTAACGAACTAACGCCGATCTGCAATAGGACACTGAAGCTGGAATGTGATAGAAACAAATTAAGAAGAGACTGGAGACATCAAGAGACAAGTGTCACGAATACTGCGGACTCCTCGTCATCATAGTCCTGTAACACCGCATGTTGTTGGTCACCAGTTACTATTCACTCTACCTGTCAGCCAAACGCAATGAGTTCGATGTTTAAAATGTCTGAGACCTATCGGTGCAGTAAATTCTGTATCCAATTCTTTCTCGGTCTGTCTCTTCCCCTTTATTAAGCCATGTTGTATAGTTTTGGAGAGGCTTGTAGATCTTGCTACATTGTGTTTAAATGTTCACCCCTCCAGGAATTCGGACGGTAGGATTAACATCTAAGGGATAAGAACTAAAGAGATACAAATCTAGGAAACTTAGTTCAACAGTATAGTCATGTAGCACAATTATACTGGGCACTGCAAAAATGTAACTTTTTAACGATGTAACTTGCACTCGTGTAGGTGGGTGTTTAAGCTACCATTTTTGTTTCAATCTTTTCACTTATTAATGGAGGTTCATGGTTGCCAGTGTGTTGAGTGGCGATACGGCGAATTTTACCATTGTTGGTACACAGTGGCAACTGTTAATAGGTTAAACTTAGCATGCAGTAAAGACAACATGAACATCAATGCAGACAAAACCGAAACAATGCAAGTTAGTAGAACCCCTGCTCCACTACACACACAGTTCAACCGTTCTGCTCTGAATCTAGTTGGTTTAAATATCTAGGAAGTATGATCACAGAAGATGGTAGAATTGACAGAGAAATAGTAACCAGATGTTAGAAAGCAAGTGCACTTATATGCCAATTGTCACCACTATTAAGATATCCAAGCATAACTATGAGAGCAAAGAGACAGATTATCAACAGTGTATTCATTCCAACATTAAGCTACCAGTGCCAAACATGGACACTATCTAAAGCCCATGTAAGCAAAATCACCACCTGAGGTGCCAGAAAAAAGCAGCCAACCTAACCATCCGAGATCACGTTTATAATGGAACTATCAGGCAAACTGGAAACGACACCTTGTACTAGATTCACTGAGAAAGAACATATCAAGTGGTTTGGCCATCTCGTTAGAATGCAGCAAGATCAAATACCATCACAAGCACTACATCTCAGAAGATCAGCTACAAGAGCAAGAGGACGGGCGCGGAAAACATGTATTGATAACATTAAAGACACTCTACGCCATCACGGCATGACAATAGCCAGTGGCGGCCAACATGCACTGGATCGCAAATTATTTCTCCACACGACGATTAACGGTAGAAGTGGTTTATGACAATGATGAATAAGACGATACTATGTTTAAATCAAATAAGAATGCAAGCATACAAATGAGAGAATGATGTAGAGCGTAAAGAAATGAACGAACAACACAACTGTATCAACAGGACTAGAGACTGGATTGGAGATGCACTAAGTTGAAATTCCGCTGATACCAGTATGTCTATTTCGCCTTTATACTGCATCAGCACCGAGTGTTCAATCACCCCCAAAAGGCCCTTACACAATCTAGCTTGTCCTACATCAATTTACCACCAGGTGTTGCAGAACCAGCCAGCTAGCCCGTCCGTTCATTTCCGATTACAGATGTACACCCAGAAAAAAAATATCTATAGGACACTAACTACCCAGGACCTTTAAAAAGATGTTTAAAAAAAAGAAACTAGTGAAGAAACATCATCTATCTATCCCGACACATGATAATGACAAGCAAAGAGCACTCCCATGTTGTAGCTAGATCCGCGACACAGTAACCTCCCATATTGGACTTCCGTTGTTTGTAAACAGGACAAGAAAGAAAACAACAGACTGGAACATCCCCTTTTCATTCTGAATTTGTGGGTGTAACTGTAGACCCTTGTTTGTCTCTATGTGTAACCTAAGTTGATAGCCACAATAAGACAGTGTAATTTTAAATGGATCATTGCTATTTAAAACCATGATACGGCTTCTACATTGGCGACGTATCGTTGATTTCATAATAATTTAGTGTTCCAGTCAACCAGTGATCGTGATCTGTGGGGAGACGCACGAGCGCCTGCGCCAGTTGGCATAGCACATGTTGATGATGATTTAGTGTTCAGTTCATCGTCTTTTCTTCTTCTTCTTACGCCTAACGGTTAATTCCCTATGAGTTATTTAGAAACGAATCATTCTAAACTGCAGGTTATATCAGGCAGGTGGGCTATCCTCAGAATAACGGTCGTAAATTATCGGGGCAGAAAATATACCCTAACAGGGCCTCAGTCACTTGCGCACTTCCGGGGACTAAAACGCCACCGCCGAATTGCAAACAAACGAGCTAATAAAATGAAGGAAGCTGCAGGAGATGCGGTAGCTGCTGCTCGTGAGTCTTAGCCATCTAGTTTAGCCCCAATCCACGCCGTGTGAGCTGCGTGGAGGACACTCTCGGCGGTGGCAGAGGTTGCCAAAAGTTCGCAATTCGGCGGCGGCAGAAGTCGCAGGAAGCTCGCATTTCAAGAAGACGGAACTGCGCAATTGACACATGACTGGGCCCTGTTAGGGTATATTTTCCGCCCCGATAATTTACGACCATTATTCAGAGGATAGCTGGCAGGTGTAGCCGAGTTGTTATATAGATGCTTAATTATAACTTCCTTGGAGATTGAACAGGGAATGTAAAAAAGTTTTTTTTTAGTGGGGGGGGGGGGGGGGGGAAGGGGCTTATATGTTACTGAGGGTCTTAGAAATAAGCATTAACACTACACTCTTCCAGGCATGTCGTATTACTTAGGCAATTGTTACTCTATGAGTTTTACTGAAATATGGGCTATCTTCCGAATAACGGTCCCAAATTATTGAGGCAGACACGTGTCAATTGCGCACTTCTGGGGACTAGACCACCACCACCGAATTGTGTACTTCCGGGGACTATACCGCCACCGCCAAGAGTATCCCCCACGCTGCTCACGTGGCGTGGATTGGGGCTAAACTAGATGGCTGGGACTCATGAGCAAATAAAATGAAGGCAGCTGCAGGAAATGTGGTAGCTGCTGCTCGTGAGTCCCATCCATCTAGTTAATCCCATTCCACGCGGTGGCGCAAGTCGCCGGAAGTGTGCAATTTAAATTGCCGGAAGTACGCAATTGACACGTGACTGAGGCCCTGTTAGGGTATATTTTCTTTCTTGATAATTTAGGACCGATATTCAGAGAATAGGTGAAGTTATAATTACAGTCCTAAAATCCAAAACAAAAATCTACCAAACCCTTGATCCTCAAGAAATGTATTGTCTTTTTGTCACTTCAGTATGACAACTACAGCTCTGTCAGCTGATCCAGGATACTGTGTTCCACTTTCTGTGAAATTTTAAATAGGGCATCTATAATAGCTTCATCATATAGCCGGTCCTTTGCAGAACTTCACTCTCATCATGGTCTGCATGAAAGAAACACAATCTCTTGCTAGCATGTACTTTCATATTCAAGCAGTCACTTATATTCTGTGCCCATCTTCGTGTTGGTCGGCTCCTGTGCCCATCTTTGCCTTGGTCGACCCCTGGCCCTTCTTCCTAGTACCATGACTTCTTCTATTATTTTTTTCCCAGTCCACCATGGCGCTTGATATGACCAAACTATCTCAGCTTCTGAGACGAAATGCTGTTTTTTAGCCAATCTTCTGTTATTATCAGATCTTTTAAAATAGCTACATGAAGTACCAACCTGGGCAAATTGCTGTTCTGGGATGACAAGAATAAATATGTATATATACACTATGTCTAAAAAATCAGTGATAATTTGTAGACATAACAGCTACAAAATCTTGCTGTCTTTGAATTTTACAAAACTTAGGCCATGATGCAATGTTACGAAAATCATTGGAGGCAGATTACCCCACATAATGATTGTAAATCTTTTGCATTGTAGGTAGCTGTGATCACAAGACCTTATACTCCCAGTCCATCTAAACACTACACAGTCATAAACAGTACCACATCTTCTTCTTAGCTTTCACCAGCTGTAAACTCTGGCAGAAAGTTCTGGTTGTTCATCCATTTCTAGATTTTGGTCTTGTTATAGAACGTGAGTTTTGCATGCACATCCATTTTATAGATCTGGCTTATTTGTTTGCAGACTGTTGGTTTTTTACCCCACGGCCAGATCCACTCTGACTTTGAAGGAAACATCCCTAATTAGTCACTTTTTATGACATGCTTGCTAGGATGACAGTGGGCCTCTCCCCCTCCCTCCCCTCAAAATGGGGCTCTGAAACCCACAAAGGAAATACTAAAAAGCTTGTTTAGGACTGGCCAATGAGAGGAAACTGAAAAAGCAGCTTCTCATGGATTTGCATAACCAATATCTTTTGGTAGCCATGTCAGTTTATTTGAATGCCTGTCATTACAGAAGATATTTTTTAGCTAAAATAATATTGCTGCGTGAAAGGTGAGGCATTTTGAAAAGCAGAATATAAGATGGGCAGTTTGTGAAACTTTGAAAATAAAATATCATTCATTCTTTCCATATGTCTTCTGCCTACATGACTATCATTTGCCTCATAAAACATCCTATCACTGGGCTACTATTCTGTTTCATTAGCTTCCATTACAGTCTAGACTTCTCATTGCCACATTTGTACTTTCAAATCTTATTTTTTAGATGTTGATTACAATGGCAGAAGATCGAGAAATTTTGAAAGAGATATGGGAAGGAAAGATTCCTGTCTGTTTTGAACTTGCAAATGAGGAGATTTACACAGTAGAGCATCCTGATCCTTTCTTTGTAAGTGACAGATAGTAGCAATTAAGTTACATTGCAGTTTTAGATGATGAATTGTTTTTACTGTTTAACTGGTATTAAGTGATGGTTAGTTTTTTTTTATTGACTTATTGCTATTATGTTGTGTGGAAGAGGCAAACCAGGAGGGGAATGACAATAAAATGAAGTATCTGAGAATTGTTTTTACTGTTTAATTGGTATTTTAAGTGATGGGAAGTTTTTTTATTGACCTATTGCTATTTTATCATGTTGTGTGGAAGAGGCAAACCAGGAAGTGAAAAAATGAAGGAAGTATCTGAGAAAAAACACACTGGCCATAGGCTGTGTCCCTTGCACAATATAATGCTGTCATCTGGAGTTGAGTTGAGGTAAGAATTGACAGCACAGCACTCAGGGTGTTACCATGCTTGCTCCGTCCTTATCTTCAGCAGCCAGCGCAGAGTTTTGCTTCTGACTCCATTGCTTGTTCTTAAAGGGCCCTGACCACTTCTGCCATGTCATGTATTGATTCACCATCCAGTGGTACAGATCCAGCAAATGTGTCTGCGTGTTCATTCCCCACCATGCCTGGAGAAAAATTCTAAAGTATGCTCACTACCCATGACCTTCCCAGTGAAGCTTACCACTCTGCTCGAGGAATCCCTGTCTTTGCAATTCTCAGCATGCTTTCAGACTGTTAAAATTATGGCATGTGTAGGCATCTTGTTATCTAGCCACCAGAAAGCTGCCGTTACCACCTCCACCTCCATTCTCATGCTAGATGTTGTGTTATCATATGCTAGGCTATACTGCACTTAAGATTTTCTATTGGCTTTAGCTACAGACCCCCAGGCACTTCTCTTCCCTTTTAACACAGAACCATCTGTATAGATAATAAGATCATCTGGATAAGAATTGTCGTAAATCAACTGTGAATCAACTCACTTCCACCTCCGTAGCACCAGCTGGCGACTCTGCACTCCCAGCCCACTGTGATCATGACCCTACATAGATCAGACTTTTCCTCTGGTACTCTTACTCACTCCTTTCCTCACCAAGTGTTCTCCAGCTCACTTACTTGTTTATTGTGTCTTTTGCTTGAGCCATCCACAATTTTCCCCTTTTCAGCCTCCGACCCTTAACTGCAGCCAACACTTCACACAGAGGGTGCTCTTTGTCTGCAGCTACTCTCAGGTATGACTTAGCCTGCAGCACCTTTAGCCTATCTGCAATAGTCGGCAATGCAAGGATGTATCACATGCACACAATCGGGTGTCTCTTGTACAACCCATGATCAGCCCCATAGCTTCATTCTGTATGCGCTCCAGTTTCTCTAGCTGACTCTTCAAGACAGTGAGTAACCCCAGTCCATAATCAGTCACTGTGCTGGTAAAGTGTGAACAGCCTTCTCTGCTCCATATCCATCACTGCCATAATCGTTAGTGCATTAAGACCTTTTTGAACCTTTGTCACAACCCCGTGTAAGTAATCCTCGTAAGACACACTTCTGTAAAAGGTGATTCCAAGGTACCGCACCGCAGTATGGTGTCTCTTTTAATGTCCCTGCCATTTACTTTGAGGCTTGGAACATCAGCTCTAACAGTCCTGTCGTCCAAAGAACACCACACAATGGTTGCCTTTCTGGGTTGATTACAGCACTCATCTCTGTACACCAGTCCATCACCTTATCTAATGTCACCTGTAACTCTTGAGCTGTTTGAACCTGATCTCTCCCCTTCCTATATACGAGAACATCATCTGCAAATGTCAATATTCTATCAACTCCAGGTGTTTCCAGGTCCTTTGTCTTGCTCATAAAAACATTGAACAGTACAGGTGAAGTTGCAGATCCCTGTGGTAGTCCTGGAGCTATAATACATGGTTCAGTGGTCCATGAACCCAGGCGGAGAGCTACCCGACGAGTATACAAAACAGCTGCTATTCACTTCACCAAACAAGGACAAACTCCCTTCTCCATAAGCGCTATCAAGCGCTGGAAAGACGGAAAATTGCAAACACTGCTATTTTAAGCAATAAGTAGTTTTTATTTCTCATTACCATTATATGTTCCAGATAGTTTTTATTGTTTCATAGTTATTTTAAATGAGGAAGTTTGTACTGATGCAGAGATATTAAATTAAATATATATATATATATTTAATTTAAACTTGATCTTTAGTATAAAATGACAGTGGCATTGGGTGTGCCAGAAGTTGAAGAAAAATATCTTAGTTGTGTTATCAACACTTGCAGTGCAAATACTACACAATATTTTAAAAGCAGAAGAATGCTACAGCCAAAGAAGAAGATGAGGCATGAAAAAAAATATCAAGAAGAAGAACAAACAACAAAAATGGAAAAAACAATTTAGAACCACAAAAAATTTTGAACAAAAAACAACAAAACGAAGAAAAAACAAACAGCTAATGCATGCTATCTTAAAACTTACTTTTTTTCAATAAATTTCTAATTTTCAGCTATTGGTACCAAGACTGAGTTACTTTCCCCTTGTGACTGACAAAGTCTTTAAACATATGATCAAATATGTAGATCCAGACAACCACAGTGAAATGTGGCTGGAATATGAGGGACAGCCTCTAAGATGGTATGTGACTTGCGTAAGATTTGAGATGTTGTGTGGTGTCTTGAGTGAGGTTAGGTATGTTTTGTGGTGAATTTAAGTATGTTGTGTGCGATAATGATGTTTGAGATGTTGTGTGATGGCTTAAATGAGGTTTGAGATGTGTGGTAATTAAATGAGGTTTGAGATGTTGTGTGGTGACTTGAGTGAGGTTTGAGAAGTGTGGTAACTTGAGTGGGGTTTGAGGTGTTTTGTGACTTGAGAGAGGTCTGCAGTGTTATATGGTGACTTGAGTGAGATTTTAGATGTGTGGTGACTTGAGAAGGGTTTGAAATGTGGTAGTGAGGTTGGAGATGTGTAGTGACTTGAGATGGCTTTGAGATTTTGTGTGGTTATTTAAGTGAAGTTTGAGATGTGTGGTAACTTCAGTAGGGTTTGAGATATATGATAACTTGAGTAAGGTTTGAGGTATCTTGTGGTAATTTGAGTGATGTTTGAGATGAGTGGCAATTTTAATGAGGCTTGAGATATTGTATGGTGACGTAAGTGAGGTTTGAGATGTGTGGAACCTTCAGTAAGGTTTGAGATATATGATAACCTGAGTAAGGTTTGAGATATTTTGTGGTAATTTGAGTGATGTTTGAGATGTGTGGCAACTTGAGTGAGGTTTGAGATGTTGCGTATAGTGAGGTTTGAGATGTGTAGTGTCTTGAAAGGGCTATGAGATTTTGTGTGGTAATTTAAACGAGGTTTAAGATGTGTGGTAACTTGAGTGAGGTTTCAAAAATTGCGATATCTTGAGAGAGGTTTAAGATTTGTGAGGTCTTGAGTGGAGTTTCAGGCTGCAGAACAAGGATAATTAGTTTGTTCCACTGTGAGTCTCTGTCATCTTATGGAAGCAGCAGGTTTAGTTCCTGGTATGGTAACTTAAATTTGCATGTTCTTTGTTTGTTTGTTTGTTTGTTTTAGTATCCAGAAGCCATGAGTTGTTAACCCTTAGGCTCAGTATTATGGATATCGCAACCTTTCGGCCTTGATTCCATTGTAAATACCGTAAATCTGGGAGAAAATGTGGCTTTCCTGCCTACCCCGGACCACAAGGAGTACGTCACCCGGTCTCTGCGAAATCCGGTTTAGCCAATTCCGCTAGAGAGCCGGGCGCATGTTCTTTAAAGATCTTTTAATCTCCACTTCTTTCTGTGAGTGCCAATCAGAACAAGTTAATTAATGAAAAAGATAACTGCCCAAGTTCAAGATTTGATTGTTTGGAGACATGGCTAGAAACACATACCTTTAGTCAGGCATGCTGTGTAACTCAATGAGTATGCTCAAGATGATGTAGACCTGCTTGGTCCAAAGACAGTGGTTGGTGTCTCTGAGGTCGTCACGGCTGACAAAGAACAGTTTCATTTTCTTGTGGTGATGTTGGTGCCCAAGGAAACAAGCAAACTTGTAGGCTTGCATGTAATGCTTCTGTGGAAAATAGATGATGGCATGGACCAGGCTGATGTACTGAATCCTGTATCAGAAGTAAAATGTTTGTGAGAACTAAGTGAGGATTTAGAATCTGCAGCCATGATCAGACTGCAAGAACAGCAAGTTAAACGGGGAGTGGCCAAACAAGGGCACCATGCAGGAAGCTAATGATGAATAATAAACCACTACATAGCTGGTATTGTCAGCCATTACACATTGTGGAATTTATTGAGGATGGGATCCAGGTACTTATGGAATAAATGGTTCGGTATGCAGTGAGAATGACCTGTTGACTAATTGATTGTCTTTGTTTCAGGCATTATCCTATAGGTGTGCTGTTTGACTTGTATGGTCACCAGAGTGAACTGCCTTGGAAACTCACTGTTCATTTCCAGGTAAATATTAAAAAAAAAATAAGCACACTTCTTCTTTAACATTCCTCGGAATCCTCAAGGTTCATTGCTGCAGATATCGCACACCACCATTCACATCTCTTGTTAGCCTTTTCTTTCCAGTTGTTGACACCAACTGTTTGTAGGTCTGTCTGGATTTTATCTCTCCATTGTCTTCTTGGTCTGCCTCGTGGTCTACAGTCATTGAGCTCTCTTGTGTATGCAGTTTTTGCCTCTCTTTGTCATCTGGCATTATCTCGGTATGCCCCAGCCATTTCAGCCTATTAGCCCTCATGATTCCAGTGATCAGTGGTGATTTGAACAGGTTATAAATTTCATTGTTGCTTTCTCACTCTCCATTCTCCACTGTTTACATTTTTGATCAATCTAAAGATTTTTTTAACCCTCTTGGCACGGACGGGCCGATTATCGGCCGGCGGATGTCTGGCCAAAAACACGGAACGGCCGATGATCGGCCCGATCGTGTTTCGCCTCGAACCGCTAAGAAATCTCCTACTTTGAAACACTGAAAGTGATTCATTTATATTAACTGCGGTATCAGCTTTACACATGGCGACTTTCGAGTGTTTGGTATCGAAGTGAAAATTGTTGTTGAATTTTTTAGATAGTGACCTGAACCGCTAAAAGTATGTCTGACTCGTATGTTTCTGCCCCTAAACTTGATGTTGATAAAACATTTGAATCAAGTGAAGACACTAATTCTGTTGATATTGATGCAGGATTTAGTGTTAGTAGTAATAGTGGGAATCAGATGGGAACGTTGTTGTGTTCAGACAACAGCCCAACCATGGCTCAGGGTATATCCACCCGAAGGTGTTGACACTCCGGCACATCCATTTCTAGTGCTGACTGATGGTGAAAAGCACATGTCACCTAAAGATATTATTGCTGTTTCACATATATATACCTGTTTTTGACTATTGAATTGCTTACAACATTTGTAAAAAAAAAAAAATCTTTGTTTTTAGTTTTATGTTTCAAGCATTGAAGTTGAAAATTCAAATTCATATTTTCTATTTTTAGATATGCAAATGAGATAATTTGCATATACATCAATTAATTTTAACGATATTGTGGAAATCACGAACTTCAATCTATATCCTTCAAATAGATATATTATTTCATAGGGGTCAGAATAACAGAAATCTGTCAAAAAAATTAAATAAAGTAATAACCAAATTCACTGAAAAAATGCTCGTGTTTTTGGCTAGACCTCTGAAAAACTTCCCGTGCTAAAAGGGTTAAGGCTCTTTTTTCGAAATTGTGTTATAAGGCTTGTTTTGAATACTATTTAGGATAATGTAGGACAGACAGCCTTCGAGTGAGGACACAGGGTAATGAATGAGCAAACCCAGATCAATATAGATATTATCTCAGAAGAAAAAAATGACAACCTACTATGAGGATGTTTTTGAAGAAAATAAATTCTGAACAGTAAACTTAAAATAACAAAATGACCGATCAAGGCAGTGTTTTCTCTTTGTAAGTTTGAACAAAGAAGACACAAACAAATTGTACAGTTTATTACCTGGCTTATGTTGCTATATCTTGTCATACTACAGTAACAACTGATTGAAATGAAGCACCCTGGAACTACGGAGGTCGTGCTCTGTGCGACGCTCTCGGCAGGCAGCTAGCTGTTCCTGGGACAAAACCGGAGACTGAGCCAAATGGGATAAAACCCAGTGCAATGAAGTCGATCATCTTACCTCTCAACTAAAATAAAGCAGATAAATGAATCCTAACTGAAATACAAAATCAGCTAACTCTAGATTTTAGTGATACACTCCAGATTTTATTAACGCTTCAGATATTATTAACTCTCCATCTCCCTGTAGAATTTTCCAGAAGATGAGCTGCTGCATTGCCCCAACAAGGACGCAGTGGAGTCCCACTTTATGTCAGTGTTGAAGGAAGCAGATGCCTTGAAGCATCGAGGACAGGCCATCAATAGCATGCAGAGAAAAGATCATAAAACATTATGGTCTGGATTAATGAACGGTTGGTGACCTTGTTTTGTTTCTTTCTGTTTCTTCATTTGTCATCACACTCCTAACCTTGTTGTAGCCCAGCGTTTTCTGTATTTCTCTTGTGTGGCTGGAGTGATGGTTTTGTAAATCTTTTTGCAGGTTTCAGCTACAGCCTATCAATCTCTGTGTTGCTTCCACTGCTGGTAGTCAAACTCAGAAGCGTTTTTGTAGCAAGGTAGTTTAGCCACTTCCTAAAGTTGTGATGAACTGTTGGTTTGGCTTTAAACTCTGCACTTGCAGAAGTGTGCAATAGTCATGGTGGGTGAACAGCCATGAATGCATTTGTGATCTTGCAGATAAATGTGATGTCTAAAAATATTTGTATTCTTGCAGATGAATTTGACATAAAAAATGTTTGTGTTTGTGATATTTTACATAAATTGTACCTATGAATGAATGTTTTTTTATTTTCATGTAAAAAAATTTTGCTTGTGGATGTATTTTGAGTGTGTTTACAAACATATATTTTGACTTGTGAATGTGTTTTTTATGTGTGTTCTTGTAGATAAATTTGAATTATGAATTATGTTTGTGTCTTTGTAGACAAATTTGACCAGTTTTGGTCGGTGAACAAGAAACTGATGGAAAACAGCGGAGAAGAGGCTTTCAAATACATTCCATTTAGAATATACCTGGTATGTAACCATCTTGTTTCATGTATTTTCCATTATGGTGTTCAAGAGTTCAGAAAATATTAGTTGTAAATGTTCAAAATTATTTATATATCATATTTTCTTAAATTAATCCCACAGAATAAAGGAGAGTAGTAAGAATGGACATCCTCTCTGTTGAATTACAGATAGATCAAAGATCTAAATTCTGTCTCTGCTTTGATATAATAATTGATTGGAAAAAAAAAACTCCCTGTGTGTGTTCCGGGCGCCCTGTTATAGGGAAAACAAGAATAGACCCACTGCCTACCCAAAAGTCTGTCGTAAGAGTCGACTAATTGGGAGCTTCCTTCAAAGTCGGAGTGCATCTGCCTGAGAGGCAAGGAACCGGCAGTCTGCATACAAATGAGTCAGATCTGTAAAATGGATGCACACGCAACACTCAGGTTCTGGAACAGGACTGCAGTCCAGAAGTGGATGAACAACCAGAACTTTCCGCCAGAGTTTACAGCTGGTGAACACGAAGAAGAAGAAGAATCTACTTTGATACAATTTGAACTGGAAGAAATCTGACCCAAACTCAGTTCAGAATTAAGATAGGTAGAAGATCTATTGCCTGCCTGTAATTTGATATAATGTTGACTGCAAGATATCCGGGCCACATTTTACTTCAGAATTAAGATAGATGGAAGATCTGTGGCCTGCCTATACTTTGATGTAATGTTGACCTGAAGATGTATGGGCCAACCTCTAGTTCAGAATCAAAATAGGTAGAAGATCTATGGCCTGTTTGAACTTTGATATAATGTTCACTGGAAGATATCTGAGCCAAACTCTAGTTCAGAATTAAGATAGGTGGAAGATCTTGGGACTTGACTCCACTTCAGTATAATGATGTGTGCTAGACTTAGATACTGATTGCCTGCCATCATTGTGGGGAATTGCTGTCTGCTGCAGTGCCATAAAGGGACTCCTGTACCCAGCGTTGAGGTTGATAGTGAACAAGTCCTTTCCTCCCATCTCTATGTGGCATCCCAAGCAGACAGTAGTTTGGCACAGGAAGGGTAGGATCAGTCAAGTTTTCCACTGTGAAACCTGTTGAGGATTGAAGCATTGCAAATCTTCTCCCCCACCATTTTGTTTAAACACAAAAAGGTTGGGAATCTAATCTGTCATCATAAGTCATTAGGAAGTACAACATGACTGTCTTTGTTGGTTTGTTTTTTTGCATTTACTGGCTGTAAACTCCAGTGGAAATCCTGGTTGGTCATCCATTTCTAGAGTTTGGTTTTGTTCCAGGATCAGAGCTTTTTTATGTGCACCTATTTTACAGATATGTACAGTCTTTTGTTTTCCTAGCTCATCAGGCAGATGCACTCCAACTTCAAAGGAGAGTGCTTTTAGAAATTTTTATTTTTATTTTTCTAAAGACATTATTTCTGGCTGGTTAATAGTTGTGAATCTCTGGACGATTGAGAGCTTTAATTCTTAAGCCTTGTGCAATAATGTTAAGTCATCTGAGCTCCCTAAAGGATAAAGTCATCTGAGCTCCCTAAAGGATCTTTTTCCTGCCATTGGGGCAACAGGTACATGGTGTTTGACCCAGATATGTTTAAATACCGATCAACCCTCAGTTGTTGATGTGATAAATAGCATGCCAGCTGCTTTTACTTTCCATGAAATTTCCTGGTACCCTCTCTAGGCTGTTCAAAGTCCACTATTCTTGGTAAAAGAATAGCCATTTCGTGTCATTAAAACATATCTCTATGCATGCACACACACAAAAATATTTTAAGAGAAGTGCTATACTTCTTTCAGTAAAAAAATAACAATTTCTTTTTCCGTAAGTCTTTTGTAAGTCTTACGAAAATGTTTGCTATAAAAATATTCTTCAAACCATCAGTAATTACACATTTCTCATAGTTAAAAAAAAAATTTTAAAAACAAAAAATTAACATTTCTGGTCATTAATATATGTCACTGTACAACAGTTCTTCTTCACCTTTTGCTCTCACCTCTAAAAAGGCAGTTGGCACATTATGATGTGGTGTACAGCTAAGCTGTGGTATCTTCACTTTTCAGCCCAACATATCCAGTTTCAGCAGATCCCTAATTAGTCACCTGTGATAGCATGTTTGTTGGAGGCCAGTGGGTCTTTTCTTTCTTTCCCCCCAAAATGTGCTTTTGAAACCCACACAGGGAAACATGTTCATGACCTTGGAAGTGTTACAAATCTCCTAGTGCAGCATAACTGTTTTTGTTTTCAGACCAGTAAATCATCAGAACATGTTGTTATACAAAAACTGGTAAAGCCTTCAGAAGATACAGGGGAGAATGTTACTCTGAGGCATCTCTTGGATGTTGCAGTTCCAGATTTATCAGAGAAAGGTGACATTAGCTTCTGTGGTATCTGAATTTGTGTGTGTCTTTCTGCTGTTTTGTCAAGAGTTTGTTTCCAGTTGCAGCTGTTACCTTAAAATGTAAGTGCTGCTTGCTACATTAAATATAAATAAAAATGCCAACAGCCAGTTTCATCATTATAGTGGGTCCAAATCCACATCAAATCTAATTTTGTTTCTTAAAAACGGACTTGCTTTTTGGTTAACCAAACCTAAAATGGATACCAGGTAATATCCTGTGAAGTAAAGGTGGCTGGCACTCTTTTGAAAACATCACCCACTGAGTGGTCCCAGTGTAATAGCTTCCTACGGACTGCATCACTTCTCTCAGTAGTCAGTAGCCCTACCATTGGTGGAAGTATTTCAAGAAGGCCTCTTTGGGAATTGAATGTGACTCAGCGTTCAGATTCTGCGCAGTATTTTCTCATGACTCAGATCAGGTAACTGTCAGTGGTAGTTTAACACTTTGCTAACCAGCTTTGACAGTCTACGAATTTCTGGTCATATCCTTTGGTGACCAACCTTACTCTGATCGACGACTGCGAACAGATGGTCTTACCGATAGTTTTCAAATTCAGCTTCATCCTGGCATTTTTTAATTATTCCAAGATGGCTGCACCTTTGATAATATCATTGTGAGCTGCTACAATGGTTGTTTTAGTGAAATTTTGATAATTTTCATTACCAGCGATATTCAGCCTTTTTGTCATGTCTGTTGATGGAAACCAGACCAGCAATAGTATTGATGATTGAGAATCTGCCAGCGAATGTAACACTGAAAACGATAATTCCTGGATAAGTAGAGATTCACCTGTGAATGTTATGGTCATATCACAACTGAAAGTAGCGACAATGATGATAGTCTTGATGGCGGAGATGATGGAAAATGATTTTTTACTGAAAAGACTGCTTATCCTGGGCGTACCAATTGATGCAACGAGACAAGAAAACCATGTGGGAGCTAACCATCATTACTTCAACCAGAAAAAAACAAAACTTTTTAGTAAGCAGAAGAGCTGTGGGAGGGAGAGGGAGGGTATGTGTGTGCACAATATAACACTATTGTCCCAAAAGACGGAAAGCTGACAATAACAACCAACAACAACAGCAGTATATAAGTAAGTAAATTAATCAACTGTTTTTCCCCTTCAAATCTTGTCTAGGTGAGCTGGACAAATATCATGTGGTAACTCAAGGCATTGAACCTCTTCTAGAAACACCAGCCGTGTGGATGAGTGAACATTTGAGCTACCCAGATAATTTCTTACATATTTGCCTCATACCACGTGTTGAAAATGAGAGTTAGTGTTCTTGGCTAATTTTTATATAATTTAGGGAAATCTGTGTTTTAGATGTGGCTGGTAGAGAAAGGTAGGCAGAGAGAGACAAGGAGAGAGAAGGAAATAGGAGAGAAGAAGTTAGTTGTGAATCCTTTACAAGATGTTGCAGTACCAACCTCAGCATTTACAAGCTGTTTATGAAATGAGGGAAGTAGAGACATCTTAAAAATGTTCAATTAAGGAAATGCACCTTGTAGGAAGCATTTAAGAATACTTGGTTACCAGCATGGATGTTAGGGGGTCATTTATCACCAGCCTGGTTGTTTAGGAGTCAATGGTCCATGGTATGGATGTTTGGAAGTCAGATGTCAGCATGGATGTTTGGGAGTCAGGGGCCATCGGCTTGGATGTCTGGAAATCAGTGGTCACCAGCTTGGATGTTATGTCATTGGTCATCAGCCTAGACGTTTAGATGTCAGTGGTCACCAGAAGGATGTTTGAAAGTCATTGATCACCAACATGGAAGTTTAGGAGTCAGTCTCCTGCTAGATGTCACAACAGCAAATTAAGACAGTCTGTCTGTAGAAAGAATACAAGACACAATGAAGGAAGAAAAAAAAGGACAGCAGAGAAATAATTACAGTAACCATTATATTGACATATCAGTTATATGGCTGCCCAGGGCCAGGGATGCAGGAACCTGGGAGCTCAGGCTCACTGAGCACCCCCAGCCCACCCCTAAAAAGTGTTAAAGGTTGTCTCAGAAACCACACCCCCCCCCCCCCCCAGCCCAACATCCATTTTCTTAGAAAATTTGTATTGGGGCTACAAGTATTTGCTTATACATTTAATATTTATTTTCTAATAAGTATTATTATGTTTATTTTGCATTCAGCTTATTATTATAATAATTTAAACAAGGCTTAGGTCACTTGAACCCCCTCCCTCACATAGAATTTGTAATGGGTGTGACTGAACCACCCCCTCCCCTCCAACCCCAACCCCCCTCCCCCCCTCCTTTTGGTCGAGGCATTTTCTCCCTTCCCCTTCCCCCTCTTTCTTTAAACTTATTTTTCCTTTGTTCGTGTCCCTGTCTAGGGCAGTTTTTGTTTTAACTCCTGTCTCAAAAAAAAAAAACTGTGTGTGATTGGCTAATCTTTAAATGTACAAATTTACATATGATGAGTAATTGGATTATCTTTATCTGTATGAATCAACATGTGATGTGCAGTTGGCTAATATTTAAATGTAACCATATTTGATGTGAGGTCAAGCAAGACAATGCACGGAGAAAAGAATTAGAGATGAGGCCAAAAAACAAATATTGGAGAAGACATGGGATGAGCTACACAGGATACCAAAGAATAGGACAATGACTTGAGTAAAATGACATGAGTTGGTGCAGTGCCTAGGCTGTATTAGTGTGTGCAGGGCGGAAGAAGAAGAATGTGATGACTGGAACTGCTTCTTCGTGTTTAAAGTTTGCAGGGTCAGCAATAGCAGGGTCAGAACAAATTATTTCATCCGCCTTGTACAGCCTCTAGGCTGTTCCCAACCACTGGCTGTATCCCTGCCTGCTCCATAGTTCATCATCATCATCTGCATCATCCTTTCCTTCACTTTCTTTCTTCTTCTTGTTCTTCTTTTTCTTCTTCTTCTTCTTCTTCTTCTTCTTCTTCTGGTTTCACGTTAATAGGGTAATTGGCACTTTGTGTTGTAGTTTACTTGCCTTTCGGCCTGTTACACCTGATTTAAGAAACACTTAATTAGTCTTGTTAGGATGCAATGTGTCTTAACTTTGTTTCCCTCAAAATCTGGTCCTGGAATCCACACAGTGAATAGCTCACATTTTTTACCTATATTTCTCGTGCTTGCCTAATGTAATAAAATTCTCTGTGTTAATGATTATGTTGTTTGTATATGTGGACATTGTATAATAAACTGATGTTTATATGTAAATAAGACAGTATGTTTGGTGTTAGTGTTGTTGAGACAGCATTTGTGACTCCTGGGGGTGTCTCAAGCACCCACTCCTGCTTGTCTCATAAAAGGTGACTAGTTGGAGATTTGCTGTTGGATATCACAGCCTTGCTATAAACCACAATGCAAAGTGTCAATCACCATTTTAAGGGTAAACAGAAAAGATCAGTAGGAAGTGAGAGAAGTGAATACATTTTAGGGAATCAAGAGGTTGGTATCGACAGTATATGCAAGAATGCCAAGCCCATGAATGAAAATGTTAGTAAGATCAACGAATTACTCTTTGCAGATGACCAGGCCTTGATAGCAGATACAACCATGAAATTGCAACAACATCTAACATCCATGAATGAAGAATGTAAAACAAATAATATGAGAATCAACACTGAAAAGACAGAAGTAATGTCAATATGAAAAAAGAAGACAGATCTAAACATAGCAATAGAGTGCAAAGGCATTAAACAGGCATCTGAGTTTAAATATCTAGGAACTACATTTACTGAAGATGGGAAATTGGATAAAGAAATTAACATTAGATGCAGTAAAGCAAACCAAGTATTGGGACAGCTAGCCCCCCTCTTACAGCATAACACAATCCCAATCAGCACAAAGAGACATCTTATTCAAAGTATATTTATTCCAACTCTGTGCTACCAGTGCCAGACATGGTCACTCACAACAAACCATAAAAAAAAATTAGTAACCATGGAGATGAGATGTCTGAGAAGGGCTGTAGGAGTGACTATAAGAGATAAGATCAGGAATGAGATCATAAGAGAAAAAGTCGGCACAGAACCAATTCTAAATTAAATACGAAGACAGCAGGTGAAATGGTTTGCCCACTTAGAGAGAATGTCTTGTGACACCATACCATACAAAGCATACATGGAAAGAGAAGAAGGACGTAGAGCATGAGGTAGACCAAGAACAAGATGAAAGGATAACATCAGAGAAACTCTACAACAGCACGATGTGCCTATGGTCGAGGCGGCCAGAAGAGCTAGAGACAGAACCTTATATCTCCCTCGACACCCACAGCGGTAAAAGAGGAAATGAAGAAGAAGAAGAAGAGGTTGGGATGGCATGGGTTACACATACTGAGAAAACCAGCTAATAATATAACACGGGTGTCCTTGCAATGGAACTCACTAGACCAGTGTTTCCCATTTGGCGGTCGACTGAAACAGTTTTAGGGATCCAAGTTATCATTAACAAACAAAGAAATCCTCCATTGTATAATACTATCTCTCCCCCCCCCCCCCCCTTTTTTTTTTCATTTTTATATTTATAAATTGCAATAAGTTCTTCAGGATGACTATTATAAAGTATGAGGTCTGTTAGAGACCTCAGAAAATAGTGTAGTCCGCATGTCTTAGCCACTTAAGAACCACTGCACTAGACGAGTGATTGAAGAAAACCTTAAAATACACAGGGAAGAATAAAAGAGACCATTATTTTAAGATCTTTATTGAGTTAAGAACTGACAAAGCACTAGGAATATTCACAAATGTCCTTATTTTCAACAGCTAGCGAAGAGTTGGTACCATTAGTTGTTTCATTATGTATGTCCATTTATACTTTCCTCTGAGTGTGCAGTGTCAACTAGATTCCATGGTGACTCTTTGCTGCACCATTTTCTCCGGACATAATAGTCTATTCATGCTTTGGTTTTGTTCACTTGCTCACAAAGGGCCTTGGCCACATTTTTTAAGATCACTATATGGTAAGTGTCGGCGTCTGTGGCGTAGGCGTTGCGAACACGCTTCGTAATGTCGGGGTGCCGGGTTTGATCCCTGCTGCGGACGGTTTGTCTTGCAATGGTTTTGACTGGTACCAAGAGGCGATCGTCCAGAAAGCAATGGCAAACTACTGGACGTAAATTTGCCTGTAAAAATCCACAACAGCCAGAAAGTGCTGGGGTTTGTTCTGCAACCTCCTGTAAAATATGGTAAGTACAGAACAGAGGCAGATGTACTTCTGGTGGCATGTTCTTTGTTGAGCAGACAACAGATCAGAAAATGTAGCAGATTGATTTTTCTGACAGATGCTCTATGCCAGTTCTTCAAGCAACGTAAACGCAACAAGTGCTCATTTTTAAAATCTGATACAGCAGCTGATTTACTTGAGCTCTTTAGTAGACAAAAAATCAGTCCTGCAGTAGATACCAGGTCACTGTGACTTAAAAGTTAATGAGATAGCAGACAGCTCAGCCACAGTTGGCATTTACGTGGTGCAATCTAACTGACTCAACTGGCCATGAGACTACCACATATTAAAAGTGGCTGGATACTTACATACTAAAAGTGCCTGGATACTTACATTTTCTGAGACTAAAAGTGGCTGGATACTTACATTTTCTGAGATTAAAAGTGGCTGGATATTTACATTTTCTGAGACTAAAAGTGGCTGGATACTCACATTTTCTGAGGCTAAAAGTGGCTGGATACTTACATTTTCTGAGACTAAAAGTGACTGGATACTCACATTTTCTGAGACTAAAAGTGGGCTGGAGACACACTTTCTGAGGCTAAAAGTGGCTGGATATTTATATTTTCTGAGGCTAAAAGTGGCTGGATACTTACATTTTCTGACACTAAAAGTGGCTGGATACTTACATTTTCTGACACTAAAAGTGGCTGGATACACACATTTTTTTTTGAGACTAAAAGTGGGCTGGATACACTTTCTGAGGCTAAAAGTGGCTGGATATTTTCTGAGGCTAAAAGTGGCTTGATACTCACATTTTCTGAGGCTAAAAGTGGCTGAATACTCACATTTTCTGAGGCTAAAAGTGGCTGGATACACACATTTTCTGAGGCTAAAAGTGGCTGATACTTACATTTTCTGAGGCTTAAAGTGGCTGGATACTTACATTTTCTGAGATTAAAAGTGGCCGGATACTTTTATTTTCTGACACTATAAGTGGGCTGGATAGTCACATTTTCTGAGGCTAAAAGTGGCTGGATACTCACATTTTCTGAGGCTAAAAGTGGCTGGATACCCACATTTTCTGAGGCTAAAAGTAGCTGGATACTCACATTTTTTG